ATCTGTGATGTTCCCTGCTCAAGTCATAGGCCTGCCTTTCAAGAGTTTCAATCCACAATGTTCAAGTGCAAGAAAAGATGGACAGTCAGACTGTTGTAGCCTTCATGTAGGCCATTATAGTGGTCTATATTGTCCAAATAGTCAAGGAAACACAGTTCCAGATGGTGGCTAAGACTCTAAAATTAATAGGAAAATTACCTAGAATATATGTCTCACATGGCAGAAAAATCACAAGTTTTTTTTAGGGACTGGGACCCCAAACACCCCTAGTGGCTGAAGAAATATATCCTTGGTCAACCCCAGCAGCAAAATATATCCTAAGTCCATCCCAGACCAGAAATATATTTCTACATTGTGACAGTCACAATTCAGGGTCCAGGCATAAGAAATATATTTGGAGTCGATCTCAGTGAAGAAATATATTTTGGGGTGTGTGACACACTACAAATATATTTGGTGTGACATTGGAGTTCAAAATATATTTAGGTAAAGTAGAGATATACAAGCCCCAGGATATATACAATATAGATATACACCCTGACATTTAGTCCCGTAGTATTCATGGAGTTTGCAAGACTAATAGTCAGTTGTTAGTGGGTGACTGAAGTGCAAAGAGCAAGAAAGCTGGTCTCAAGATATAGTCACATTGCATGATATGACAATATTTTTACATGGTTGTCTTTATTTCCATATTTGGATATGGACCCTGAATACTGGACACAGCCCCTTCAACACCATGGCAACAGAGAAGATCACTCTTAATTTTGGGGTATTTTTTTCTGATTTTCTGGCAACTTTTAGATGGTTTCTATATTTAGATATTGACCCTGAACCCTGAACACAGCCTCCCCACCTTACTAAGCAATATTCTGATTTTTACATATTTTTTGCTGATTTCTTTTACCATTTTTCCTGATTTTATGGCTGCTTTTCTGTTTAAGGGAAAAGGTTCCCGCGGTGATGAAAGGTAAATGAATCAATGAATGAAAAATTCGCCTAAGTCCTCAGTTGATAAAGAATGAGTCTTACTCGTAAACTCGTAAGGACTCATAAATTATAGCCTCTTCTTATACATTTCTAAATGTACTGAAATCATATGACCAGATGATTTTCTTATTGAGAAAAACATAAAAAAACATGAATAAATAGGTGTCTTTGCATATATCTCAGGAAAGAAGATAGCTAGTCACATTTTGTGACCACATTGAGAAATATAACAGCATGCTCTATAAAACTGTCAATAGTTTCCTTTTTGGGTCAAATTTCCCACAGTACCAGAAACACAGCCTCTCACTTAGCTTTATTAACAACAATTGTAGCCACTTTGCTTAGCTTTACAAATATATATAAATAATGTCACACAGATCATTCCTTATGAGAAAAACACAAAATACTGAAAAAATTGGACACTTTTTGAAAATAGTCATGTATTTTGACCAATATCTGCATAAGAAAGAAGGCTAGTCAGATGATATAATCACATTTCTGATATTTAATGTTGCTATACTATTGGAGAGGCTGTATTCAGGGTCCAGGATACACTTCCAAATATGGGAGTCTGCCCAAATATAGCTAAATTATTGTGTACAAGTTTCTTCACTTTTTCCTCATTTTCCAGCTGTTTTCTCTGAGTTGTTTTTTTTTCTGTCTATATTTAGATATGGACCCTGAACACAGCCCCTTCAATATCATGACAACAGCAAATATCATTCCGATTTTTCTTCCCTTTTTTGGCATATTTTGTAATCATGTTATACAATCTATCTGGCTTTGTTCTATTTTTAGAGATGGACCCTGAACCCTGAACACAGCCCATTCATGATCATGGCAATGGTGAATACCATGCTTATTTTTCACTTATTTTGCACTGCTTCTCAACCTATCTGTTTCCATTTTTCAGACAGCTTTCTATATTTGGATATGGACCCTGAACCCTGAACACAGCCTCTCCAACTTACTAAGCAATATTCTGATTTTCTACACATTTTTGGCCAATTTATTTGCCATTTTTCCTGATTTTATGGCTGCTTCTCTCCTTAAGAGAAAAGGTTCCCGCGGTGATGAAAGGTAAATCAATGAATGAATGAATCAATGAAAAATTTGTCTAAGTCCTCAGTTGATAAAGAATGAGTCTTACTCGTAAACTCGTAAGGACTCATAACTTATGCAATGATG